ACTAAGGGCAGTTTGGAGTCCAACAACCTAACATGCAGGTTTTTGGACGGTGGGAGGAAGCCGGAGAACCCGGAGAGAACCCACAGACACAGGAGAACATGCAGACCCCACCCAGAAAGGTCCTGGTTCCCCCGGGACTCCAACCCAGAACCTTCTAGCTGTAAGGCCATGGTGCTGACCACCACACCACCGTGCGCCCCCTATCATAATATTCCATTCAGTCATTAAAATAACAAAAAAGTAACTGTAACTTAACAGAAGGCTACAGAAGAAATAGCTATTTGTCCTCTTTTTAATCTAAAAAAAATGCTGCTCTCCGGTAAAAAACAAACAACCCAAAAAATGGTCAATCTATTGGAAAAGTAGTGAGACTGTAAATATTATGCTATGGAATACCATGGCAGTGCTTACTAGAGATTTATATCCCGAATACGGTGCTGATTACTGAACTGAAAACAGAAAAGAAAGAGGATTCAACACACGGTTTGGTGGGATAACCTGCAGGTATAAAGAGCTGAGCTGTCTTCTGGGCGGGCCTCCAGAAGCCTCCAGTAGATCCAGGACAATCATATCTGCACATTCAGAGTTAATGCTAGGTGGGAATAACAGGTTCTGGGGTTGTACAATCACGTTTAAATGTTGTACATTTAATTTCAGCCTAAAAGCCTAAAAATCTGACTTTAGAAAATGGAAGGCCTTTCAACATGTCCAAGTTATTTCTAGCTTTTTTTGGACTCCAAATGCACAGGTCCAAGCAAGAAAGATGGGCAAAAAGAAACAAAAGGAAAGCCTGTTTAAAGATATACATTCATTTAATCTGTATCAGCCCCACATGATTAAAGCAAAAAAACAAAAAATAGACACATCTCATGATTCTCCAGAACAGTTTGAAGTTAATCAAAGTTGTTTTGAACATTAACATGAGGATGGTAGAGCTTGTGAAAATCATCCAGACAGAACATTTTATCCTGAAAGACGAGTAACAAAATGACTTCTCTTCAAAATCATTTAAATATTTTTTTGTTGTCTTGTGCTCCAACAGTTCCAGCATCTTGTTGTTTTCCCACCAGCACCTTTGAGCTTTCTGTATAGTTTATAGGAGCGATAATATCCAGTCCCCAGCACGGTCTTCACCAGGGCAGGTTTTGTCCACGGTAGTCCTTGAATCCTCCGTGGTCTCGCTCTGAGAGACCAGAAATGACCGACAGCATCCCGGAAACACTCTCCTCCACCGTCAGGCTCGCCTGAAAACACAGAAACAAAGACAAATAAAACATAAGTTCCTCTAGATCCTCAGTCATCCAAGTCTGGCTGATCCCCAGAGTGGGAACACAACTAGACTTGGGTCTCACATGTCTGAGATTCTAAAGCAAATAAGATGATGTAAAATAACAAATTAAGTAAAAAATGAGTTAAAAGCTAAAGTAAAATGGTCTTGAGCCTCTTTTTAAGAACAAATGTACTGCAGCTTCTCCAAAAAGAGCTGATGGAGGTAACAGGTTTATGAAAGAAAACACTCATCCAGTGTACATCAAAAAGGCCCGGTCCAAATCAGAAAAATCGAACTCATCTTTTTAGCTGATTTTTTTGTCGCACTTCATTTTGAGTTTAAATACGTTCAAAATGAGTGTACAAACAAGGGATGTCCCGATCCAGCTTTTTTCCCTTCCGATCCCGGCCTATCAGAGCATGTGTTAAAGTCTAAAGTTATTTATCTACTTACTTAGTTGTCAGACTCATGTTGAACAGGGATTTACTCTGATAACAACTTAATGGTTAGGACACAGACCTGTGGGTTAGGAGATGCTAATGCTAATGCTAATGTGGGATCGGACTTTTAAAAAAAAAAAAACTGGATCTGGAGTCTGGATCCGCATTTTCTGCTGCCGGCCGATACACAGTTTTTTTACGAATATATCGGCGGCCGATCCGATCCAGATATCAGATCGGGACCGGCCTAGTAGAAACCAAACCCTGTTAACCCGATTCTTTAGTTGGAAAAGGCCAACGGTCAGTAAACGACTCAGACCATTACCTCCGTTCCTCTGGGTAATTTACATAGATCATGTGATAGCATACTATGCTAAAATGCGTAATATCTGGGATACTTACACGAGGGCCCCCCATGTCGGTCTTGACCCAGCCCGGGTGAAGTGACACACAGAGGATCCCGTCTGAGCTCAGATCTGCCGCCAAACACCTGGTCACCATGTTCAGCGCCGCCTGTTTCAAATCACACATCAATCTGAGGGCGAACGCACGAAGAAATGGACCGAAATCCCAAAAAACGGCGACGCGCCGATCGTTATTTCCGTCTCTGACCTTGGAGGTGCGATAGGCGTAACTCTTGAAGTCTCCGGTGTTTAACTCGATGGAGCCGAGGACGGAGGAAACGTTGATGACAGCGGCTCTGTGGATCCCCATCCCGGTGGAATTAGCAGCAGCGGTCTGCAGCAGAGGCAGGAACGCCTGAGAAAACACGCGAAAGAAGAGATTAAAAATCAAAAGGAGACATATTATACCCTATTTCAACAAGTTAAACTAGTTCCCTGGTGTCCTAATGTGCCACAACATAGGAAGAAAACGAACAATCCACGGGTCCGTGTAATTCATCTTCATCAGTCTCAAGAGCTCTTATTTTGATAGAACAATTTCCTTAAAGACACATTCACTGACCGGATGACTAGATATTAAAGGAGACATATAATACCCTATTTCAACAAGTTAAGCTAGTTCCCTGGTGTCCTGATGTAATGTCTGTGACAAGCTTTGGTCAAAATCCTATAAGGATGAAGCCCAATAGCAGTTCAGTCCCCCTGCCTAACCCTAACCCTAACCCTAACCCAAAACAGCCCCGTTCAGAGCGCTCGCTTTGGAGTGCCTGTCTCTTTAAATGCAAATGAGACACAGGCAATCCACCCACTTCTTCCGGGAGGTGTGCCCACGTCGGCATGGCAACGGCTGAACGGGAACTCTGGGAGAAACATGGCAGCTGGAGGAAACTTTTCGGTTCCAACCTTATATGTTTGAACCAGAGTCAGACCCTGAACAAGACTGTAGACTGCAACAAGACGTTTCTGAATGGTGATTTATGAGCTTTATTTGACTTTTTTCTTAAAATGTGTATGTTTGTACGTCGGGTAAATACGGTGGCTGACTAAATATGGTCAACCGCTGACTGAGCTGTTTGTGTAATTTACTGCTTATAAAAATCTAGATTTCTGTTAGTTGAGTAAACATAAGTAGCATGCTATTCCCATTACACAAGTAGGAGCACAGATATTGGAGTAAGCTGAGGGGGGGGGCAACATGCAGGTGAAAGGCTGGAATATTATAATGAGCTAGAGCTAATGACGTCAGAAACTACCCACTCCTGAAACCTCCTGATTTATCTCCTGGATTCAGACTGAGGCGGCCCACAAAAATATGACTGAGTCTTTTTTTTCCCACACTTTGCCTGCTGATAGGCCCTCCACAGTCCCAAATGCACATAATCAAATGATTAAAAACTTGGTTTTGCATAATATGTCCCCTTTAACTTTCCCCACCAACTCTCTTCCAGTAGAGGTTAACAAAGCACCAAACTGTGCCACAAAGGGTGAGCTCTGCTTTATTGTTCAGAGGGTAACACATCTATTTCATGTTCCTGCATGTTATTTTATCATCTGTCTCGTTTTTTTGTTTTTTTTCCCATTCCAGCAGCAACTGGAAAACAGAAGTCTGCGAAAAAAGTGAAGCTGCAGTCTCTAAAATTAGTCGTGTGTGTGAACTCAATTCAAAAGGAGACCGTGCAGTCCAAAAACGGTAAAGTCTGTAAAGCACTTAAGATGTGGGTACAAAAAGGAGGTGAAATGAGTTTGTTGGGCCCTAAAAACCAGAAGGTTGCAGTTGTTCCGCTCTTCTGCCGGCCTGGAAAAGGCGGCCATGTTGGTTTGGTTCTTTAGCACCAACACAACCAGCGTCTTAGCTTCAGAATAAATTTTAAAAAAAATAATTAAAAAGAAACTTAAAAAGCGTGCCGGGTCGTAGCCGGTGCAGGAGAATATGTCCCCTTTAAAAGAGGACTGAAAAAGTTTGTACAAAAGTGAACTGAATCCCTCCTGAGCTGCCACACACACAGCCGCTTTGTTTTGTACCTTAGTCACAAAAAGTGGAGCCACAGCGTTGGCCTGGAAGGCCGTCATCATGTCCTCCGGGGTTACGGTGTTTATGTTTGTGGAGTATCCGATGGCGGCGTTGTTAATGAGGCAGCCCAGTCCTTCATCCCCAACGATGGAGCGGACCTCCTCCAAGGCCGAGTCGATGCTCTGCTGACTGCAAACATCTGATAAAAAGAAAAAAAGACAAGTTGAGTCAAAAGAAATTGGCATTGCGGTCAAACACAAATGGCCCCCCTGTGGAATTTAGTTTAGTTTTATTAGGATCCCCATTAGCTGCCAAATAAATGGCCACTAGTCTTCCTTGGGTCCTCACATGAAGAAATTACATTAAATTATGAACAAACCATTAAAAAAAAATCACAGTAGGAAATAATAAGAACATAAAAAAGAGTAGAAATATACAACATATATATATACACAGGTCAGTTCATCATAACATCTGCAGTAGTTTTGAAGACAGTATATTTTTTGAGCTTGTTCTGTTCTGAACTCTTCGTGTGGTTATTGGCAGTTGGTTCCAGTGAAATATGGCTCTATAATGCACTGTGGATTTTAGATAGTTTGTTCTGGGTCGAGGGAGTTTAATGTCTCCACCATCTTTATGCAGTGGATGGCAGAATTAGGCTGCCATCTACTGCACATCTGGAGCCAAGCAGGCTGAAGCTTCCAGCTTCCAGCTGTGGGGCAATCATAGTGTATTTTAAACCAGTCTGAGTCTGAAATGAGACGTAAAGTCTGCCCTTTCTCAGGAATTAGACAAAATATGAGGAGGACTTCTCTTAAACCTTGAAGGAAGAAAGGACCTTTAAAATACTCAATGGTGGAAATTTACCAGAGAATAAAATAGAAAAGAAATAGAATAGAAAAGAAGAATAGAAAAGAAAAAGATCATACATATAGTGATGATTCCCCCCACACCATGTCTTTGTGTGTAGCATAGTGTTAGAATTGGGCTATAATTACTCACTTTAGCACAGTATGTTATAACTTAATCCATGTAAACGACTGATTGTCTTATTCCTTTTTAGATTCATATTATTTCCTTTAGAATTATACTTTTGTGTTAAACTCTCTGGCTGTGTCCTCCTCCTCTCTCTGTTACAGTAGATACTCGTCTTTAAGCTCAACATCCACACTTTCCTATCATATTCTACCAAAACCTGCATGAATTAGGACCTGGCCTGTTCATGCCAGAGCTAACTGGCCAATAACACTCGGTTACGTCCAGCCGTCCTCCTGTTGGAGGCCCAAAGGAAAACTGAAAGCCTAAATGGAGGCTCTTTGCTAACTGAGATCCTCCGGGAGCTTTTGTCTGTGAGAGCCCAGCTGATTTACTTTGCTTGTGACCAATAAATGTCATGTTTGTACTCTTGATCTGCTCTGGTTTATTCTCAGGCTTCCAACTAAAGAACCAAAACTGACAAGGGGGAGAAGTGAGTCCGCCTTAAGGCTGAGCATCTATAACTTTTCTAGTAGCAGCCGGAATGATTCTTCATAAATGGAAGAGCCCACATAGACCAGAAATCAAAGAATGGCTTCAACTTATGTGAGAGACAGCTGCTTATGAAGTCATTATTTCTAGGGTGCAGAAAGAGCCAAGTAAGGTTAGCCAAGCATGGGTACAGTGGGGGAAATAAGTATTTGACCCCTTGCTGATTTTGCAGGTTTGCCCATTTACAAAGAATGATTATTTTTCCTCATCAGATGGTTATCAATTTTTATAATTTCATATGATGTTATTTTCTGGAATTTTCTTTGGGATTCTGTCTTTCACTGTTAGAATATGATTAAAGTTATAGATCGTTGCATTCTTTGTAAGTGGGCAAACCTGCAAAATCAGCAAGGGGTCAAATACTTATTTCTCCCACTGTATATGTTGGTTAAAATTCTTCAGAGATTTGGGGTGAGATGTATTCTGTGAGTAGGAATGTGTGCATTGATATATCTGTGAATAGATAACTGATAAGTGCTGTCATGTTCTGTGTTGCTGCCGGTGTTTGTGTGTTTTTGTTGTTGAATGTCATCTGTTTGTAACTGTGTTATAAAAGCAAAATAAATAAAAACTTTAATGGGAAAAAAGGCTGAGCAGAGCATCTATGCATCCAATCAGAGCACGCTTTGTGTAGACTCACCCAGTTTGACCACATGAACAGCTGCGTACTTCTTTGAGAGCTCCAGCAGACTCTACGTTCACAACATTGTTGTTTCAATAGATGAATTAACATAAAAAAACATATACAGTGCACATGTGTGTAAATATATATGCTTTAAGATAAATTCTTACAGAGCTCATGTGGGGAGCAGCCCCTGGCTGCAGCCTGTAGGAGCCTTGGTTGGATATCCAACTCCTCCCACATCCAAGTCAGCCATTTTGATTAGGTCATGGGACTAGCAGCTTTCTGAGGTGGAAACGGAACTTTACTGTCTATATGAAATCAGAAGACAAACGATGTCCTAACCCTAACCCTGACCCTGATCCTAACCCAGACCCTAAACATGACCCTAACCCTAAACCTGACCCTCACCCTAACTCTGACCCTAATCCTGATCCTAGCCCTAAACCTGACCCTAACCCCTAACCGTAAACCTGACCCTAACCACTAACCTGACCCTAACCCTAACCCTAACCCTGATCCTAACCCTAAACCTGACCCTTATCCTAACCCTAACCCCTCATAATTGTGAGAAATAAATATTTTTTGGTTAAACTAGTTTAACCAAAAATATTTTAACATAAAAATATTTTAACATAATATTATGTATAGAGTTTAATTCAGTGTTTGTGATATTCATTTCACCATTTTTAAATTAATGTTTATATTGCCATGAAGCAATTAGGATTTTCTTGCCTGGGATCTTCCTCTTGGTGACTTAATCAAAATGGCCGACTTGGATGTGGTCTGAGTTGGACATCCATCCCTAGTTTCCTGCAGTGTGCAGCCAGACGGACGTGTGTGGGTGGATGTGTGCACTGAGGCCGGTGTTCAGTCAGGTCAGCATACCCCTACAGACCAGCATACCCATAGTCAATACGCATGCGCGAACATGGTTGCAAGATGGTTAGAAAAACACCAAAAAGTAAGTAATTAAATTATTTTTTGGTACATAACAAAAGGGATACACGCCTGTTGAGGTAGTTTACAGTGTGTTTTTCGTACAAAACTAAAGGGATACTCGCGTGTTGAGGTAGTTTAAAGTGTATTTAGCTGCACCTGCAGCCATCTATAAAACAAAACACACCTCCCGCCCAGCCAATCGTTGATGATTTTGATTTGGACATTACGTCATCTTGGATACAGATTAATTGAAGTGAATCAAACGTGAGCATGATGCTTACTACTAGCAAGGTTGTAGTTAGCACATAAAAAAGTAATGATAGTCTTGTTCAATGTTGGGATTAAATGAACAGTTCCATCGATGATCAAATTGATGTACAATTTTGCCACGTATTTTATTTGCTTATATCTTCTAATTTTCCAGGGACTGCACATGCTTTAAATACGAAATAGTTAGAAACAGCATTTCTAAGTTAATTTGTAAACAAAAGTACTTGACTTTCGGTGTTGTTTTCTGGTGAGTTTGTGTGTTTACCTTAAACTACAACCTTTTGTTTATCATATCACGCATAAATAAAGGAGTCTAGTAAACTTCGTCAATGTTATTCTCTTAGATTTCTGCTAAAGGTAGCGCATGCGTATTAACTAATTAAGCGCTGTGAGACAACTGTTGTTGTGATGTGGCACTATATAAATGAAATTGAATTGAATATAATTAATTTTAATTTTGTAATGTCATTGTCTGAACGTGTGTTTGGACTGATTTTGTATTTTTGTGTTGTTTGGTCTTCCTGCCTCAGGACGACAGATGTAAACTAGCAACTATGCTATAATCTGGCTCATTTACAATCTGTATGAGATTGTTCATTAATGTGCACTGTCCTGATTAAATAAATAAATAAATTTAAAAAAATTAAAAAATAAAAAAAGAACTATGGGTATGCTGGTCTGACGGGGTGGGGTATGCTGACCTGACTGAACACCGGCGGACCGGGGCCGTGTGTCCGTACCGTACCGGGCAGGCCTCCGGTTGGCGGGCCGTGGCGATGACGGTGGCCGGTCCGGTCCGGCCTGCGGCCAGTTCCGCGGCCAGCTTCAGCCCGATGCCCCGGCTACAGCCGGTCACCAACACGGACCGGCACACACTCAGGTTCATGGTCGGGGAACGGTGACACAACCGGTGTCTGACTTATCCAACGTCCCCCTGACCGGCTTCCGCTTCTTCTTCTTCTTCGTCTTTTTTATTGGTAGGGTGCCGGTGTCATGGCGCTCTACCGCCATCAGCTGGAGGGGAAAGGAAATTAAAAGAAGGATGAAAATAAAGTGGACCATAGACATATAACTTGTTCTCTCAGTTAATTAAATTAATTAAGATAAAAAAGATTACCATTTATGAAGTCTGGAATAGTTTTATTCAGAAATATGACCATGAACACACACACACACAAAGGTTTTTGTATATATTGAAAACTTTAAATGTGAAAGATTTCTTTCTCCAGTAGTCACACGAAGTGAAATGAGAGTATTTCTGTCAAAAAGCTGCTGAAAGTGTACAAATCTGTCATATGAAAAAGGGTGACAGGAACCAGAAATGATAAGCTAATTAGTGTCATTTGATAAAAAGAATAAATAAAACTACTGCAACTTCTATTGGTCTAACAATAAGTTTTAAACACATGAAAGTAAAACTTATATAGGCAGTCTAATAATTATGTAACTCTTGAAACTACAACTCCTATCGACAGTCTAATAAAATCAAACTTTGTAATGCTCACTGGGACGCTTGTGGGCGGAAGTGGGAATTACCGGGCTCCGAAAGGTATTTGAATGCAGCCATTCCCGTCTTTTCCAGAGCGGCCATCTTTTTTCCCACTAATGTCTCAAGTTCGTAAGAGCGAAGAAACATTTCTGACCGTGTTTATTAGCAGATTTCACGCTGCCGCTCCTCGGAAAGCTGTCCTTTTGAACCGACTCTCATAAAAAGGCCAGCTTTCCCACTCGGCTAATGCGCAGACGTTAGCAAACATAAGCTCACGCGCCGAACGTTAAGAAGCCGTTAACGTAGTTTCCGCCGTTTGTCTGCTGTCATTGTCCTGTGAAGTAAAAAAAAAAAAAAAGTTGGTCATTGTAATTTCTAATCAGAGATTTGAAATATGTTTGCATATCGAGGAATTTTTTGAGACAAATCTCATGATTAGATTATATTTATATTGGCGGAGGAAGTAAAATAATATGACAATCTGCCGGGCGTCATGGTAACCACTGATCAGAGGCTGCACGTGTCATTTAAATGGAACAGGTTGGTATGAACGTTTCCGTGACAGAGCTGGGACCCACGGGCCACACCCGGAGCCCCGACCATGGCGAGCCCTCCTCCGGACATCCCTGGTCAGAGGCAGGGGGTCAAGTCAGAGCCGGGCCCCCCTCTGAGGTCAGCCTATCAGGGTCTCTTCACCCCCATCAGCATGGCCCCCCGGCAGACATGTTTGACCCCGCCAGCTTGAGGTGTGCTTTCCTTTGCTTTAGCAGATGAGATATTTGTTGGATCAGGCCTTATTGACATCTTCTTATCTTATTGGCTTCTTCTGATATGACCCATGGCAGGTTCCCCTGTTCGTGTCAGCCCACTCAGTGCCAGCTGACCTATCCCGACTACCTCATGGACCTCCAGTCCAGCCAGTATCACTTCCTCTCTGGGTAAGTGTTAGCCCGATTCTTTAGTTGGAAACCTGAGAATAAACCAGAGTAGATCAAGAGTAAAGAGCCCTGAGATCTGGGTGTGATGGGCATTATCCCCTCGGCTCGATCCGCCTCCTCAAAGGAGGACTGGACACAACCAAGTCCTATTGGCTAGTTACCTCTGGGCATAAACAGGCCAGGTCCTAATTCATGCAGATGACAGGAATGTGGTAACAAATGTTGTGTGTATGTGTTGACTTAAAAGTGTGGAAAGAAAGAAAGAGAGAGTCTCTGGGCACAGCCAGAGACTTTAACAAAAAGTAAAGTTCTAAAAAGAATAAGACAATCAGTAATTAACATAGATTATGTTATAGCATACTATGCTAAAATGAGTCATTTCAGCCAAATTCTAACACTAAGTCCCCATTCTCCTGGGCTGTGTTTCGGTCTGGATGCAACGTTTCTACTGTCTATGTGAACAAAAAGTCAGATACCCCCGAACACAACTAGCTCAGTCTCTAACTGGAGTGTTCGTTTACAAGAGAAGTAACCCAAATTATTATTGGGAATGACTCGAGGTGGTCTTGTCCTCCTCAGGGCCGTGCCGGATCCATCGGACTGTAACCATCACAGGTCGGCTTCGGCTTCCTGGTTAACCGAAGAGCCCGTTCTCACCAGCGTGATGGTTGGTTCAAACCCTCCCGAGCAAACGTCAGCTCTCATGGAGCAAGAGAGAACACTCGTTTACGGGTGTTTGGTCGGTGTGTTTTCAGACGGATTTGCACAAATCTGTTGTGATGGATCACCGGCAGTATCAGGAGGGGCCGGTAGAAGTCACGTCTCACATCACACAGCCTGTGAGTACCGCACTCAATTTACAGTTTCGCCTTTTTATGCAGACTTGGAGGGAAAATGACGAATTATTTGAACCAGAATTGACTTCAGTGAAGGTTTTCAAAGGCAGCAGAACTGAAAGTTGAGTACTGCACCATCCTGAACATATTCGCTTTGCCTGGAGGGGCTTAATGGGTGAATTATCCAAAACAAAATTTATATGTTTTAGTTACAAAACTTTACATGTATCCGTTTATACAAAACCTGACAGGGGGGCAGGGAAAAGGGGAGAGCAAGGAAAATAAACCAACCCGAAAAGGAGAAAGACCCTTTGACAATAACAAAGAAGTTTGATGAGTATTCTTATCCAGTCAGTGAAGGTTGATCTAAACCTAAATTTGTCTAATATTGCAAAAAAGAATGAGCTTTTTCTGCATCTAGCAAAAAGATTGTAGTTAACAAGTTATTGATGGTAGAAAAGTCTAAAGATGACTTAACCTAGATGATTGTCTACCCACATTCCTGGTAAGTCATTCTTTTTTAGATATACAGACCACTCCCTTTTGAAGTAATTCATAAAGAATCACTTTCTTTAAGTAATGATGTATTTATCTCAAGTTTGTAGCTGGTGTACCTCTTTAAGCTTTTAGCGTCACTGAAGGTGATGGGGTGGATTTAGGTGTTGGATAGAGATCGACTAATCAGGAAGTATCTCTTCTAGAATATAAGTGGTGTTCTGTAAGAAGAAAAGGCAATTGTCCAAGACCAAAATGACTCATGTAGTGTGAAAACATCTGCCAGTTCTGCTGCCTTCAGTAGAATAAAATAACAGAGATATATGGTGCAAAGTCGGATACCGAGCTGATTGTTGAGGCTTCCTTTGTCTGTGTAGGTGGTGTGTAATGTCACTGGAGATGGACCCATGGTGCTGGTTAATCCCTGTGACCCTGGGCCCATGTTTCTCACTATGGAAGGAGTCCAAACACAAGAGGAGAGCGGACTGACCACAGGTACAGGTCAGGACCAGTTTCCATTCCAGAGGGTTCATCAAAAGGGTTCATCCTCCATGTTACCCTCATGTTTTACT